CAGATGGAGCTCACCCTGCAGAAGGGTCCGTCGTCAGTGACTGCAGCTAAACAGAGCTGCAACTGACAAAGGTCGGCATTTAAGCACTCCTCAGAATTTTGGATTTTCAAAAGCTCCAGTGACTGTCTAATCCCCTTTTTTTGGGGGGGGGTGTTTTGTTTTGTTTTTAAGAAACTGGCCTCAGGCCTTGCATCTCAGCAGAGCTTTTGTGGTGACCTGTCCTGTCCTGAATCTTTTTTGCCCTACCATACTGATTTGTCCCTTTGTTTGTGGCATTAAGCGAAGAGGATTGTGTGATTTGGGTTAAAATACAGAAAAACCTTACTTTTTTGTTGTTGTTCATGCCTGTTTCTCTCCTGCCTCTCCTCACACTGCTCCAGCTTCCTGACCTCCCATTTGTTTCCTATCTTTAGGGCACTTCAATTTTCCCTAGTATTGTCCCCTAAAGACATAAGCAAAGGACAAGGTCAGAGCAGTCAGTTGTAGTCCTTATTAGTGGCTTTGATAAGAGGCTTTGGGGGAAGAGGTTGAAACTAATGACTATAATGAAATTTTGGTTCTGTAAAGATTTCATTGATGTGTGGGCAGTCTCCTCTCACTGAATGTCTATTCTGTGGACTTTTGCACTTTGCATATTGGTAGCCACTGTTACTGAAACTTTGCTGATTTCTTGAGTAGAAGAGACTATAAAACTTACTCTCAGGGAACATGGAACAATGGAGAGTCAGCTTCAAGTACTGAGTAAGGCAGTGTTTTGGAAAAAATAACACAGCAAACAAAATGCTACAGTAGAAAAGATAAACTGTAGTTTCAGTTTGTGTTGATCAATGGCCTTTTTTGCCCTCCCTCAATTTCATAAAGAGGCACGTGGTGTTAAAAAAATTCTTTTTGTAACTGTCCAGTGTTTTAATCTGCCATTTTAGAAAACTTGACAAATTCATAGATAAACGACACATCAGTGTTAACTTTTCATTTTTAGATACTGTAAACTGGAATTTTCCAGTTTCTCTGGGAATAATGGCATTTCTTAAACTTTAAGCTTTAAGTAAAACAAAACAAACAAAAGCAAACTTTTCCTTAATAGTCTTCATGCTGCCCATGATGCTTTGGTATATGTTAAGTAGTTTCAGATGTGTTGTGTTCTCTGCCTCAAAATCAACCCTTTATTTTAGAAAAAGAAATTGTGTAATTAGGACTTAATTGCTTTGGATATTTTGGGTATTTGGAGGAGATGGTTATTTAAAGGCCAGAGAAATTAAATGTTCACAGTGTTCTTTATGCATGTGTAATCCCTTTTTGTAATCCCTTTAAAAAAATAAAAATAAAAACCTTCTAAAGGCAAGCAGGGCAACTTAAAAATAAGTGAAGACCTGGTTTGTTTTTGTACAGTTGAAGTAATAGTATTTCATTTAAAATATTTTTTAAAAATTAACATGAATTTTACCTGTGGATGTAATACTTATGTTTTTTTCTTCTGAGTTATGTTGGGGGAGTGCTAGAAACCAAGAGATTGTCATTCATCTCTCTAGCAGGTGTCTTGTAAATATCCACTGATCTCACAGGAGGAAAGCCAGAGCTCCATCCCTCCAGAAATACAATATGTGATCAAGCTGAAATATGTGGCGTAATTAAGAGTGTTAGACAGTCCACTGGGACAAACTTGACCTTGATGGACAAGGGCTCTTGTCCTGTGTCTTTAGCTCTCTGAGAAGTTCAGGTATGGTGGCTACCATAACTTCTCTGGACCACGCTTATTATATGTAGGTTGGCTGTGAGACTAGCAATGACTAAGCCTTCACTAGCTCAGAAACACTGTTTCTGGAGGTACCCGTTATATAAAACCCTGCATTTTGTGGAGCAGGGACCTTACAAGGCTGCTTTTTAGTAGTAGTATTCTTGTGCTGATGTTGCTAACAAAGCTTTGAACTATGACATTAAGAGACTAGTAGTTATGAAATATATTGGATTATAAAATAATATACTTTGTCCAGAAGAGATTCATTTTTTGCCTGATCTATTTCCCCTTCCCTTTCTAATATTCTTACTTTTTTCTAAATATTGACCCTTTTTTTTTGAAGAAAATAAATTATTTAAACATCTGGTTTCTACTTGGAAAGTTCAAAGTATCATAAGTAGCGTAGCTACTTGGCTCAAATATATGCAAAGTATTATCATAACCTGTGTAAAATGCTTGATTCTCAAGAAAAGTATAAATTGCAAAACTGTCTCTAGATGAAGCAAAAATCTGAACAGAACAGCAGCTGCAGAAGATGCAGTCCCTTCCTTTATAATGAGGTGAGCCGTAGGTTCAGACATTTGGGCCCAAAGATGAAAATAACAGCAGGAATTGTTAAATAAAGCCTTGAGCTTTGGGCCAATGTTGATGCCTCTGGGCTTTGTCCATGCACAGGAAGTTAAGTCAGGGAGAACAATTAATTACCAAATGTAGTCAGGTTTGTGGAAAACATGGATGACCTTTAAAACACACTTGCATTTTATTCAGTTGCCTTTTTTGAGCATTAAATATGTGTGGAGTATATGCCGGATGAGAGTGGAGCAACAGATAGGACATTAGGAATGAAAATGAAAAACTTCTGACCTCAGAGCGCAGCATCAGGACCAGTATGAGAAAGAGCTGGGGACAAGTAAAGGATGAGGTAGATGGGAAGTAGGGTGGCTGATGACCTGAAGTTCATAACCTCAACATCCCAGAGTTGTAATTGTGACAAGGCATGCAAATTTTATATGTATACCTGTTAGCTTAGATAATTCTCTAATGGTAAGAAATCTTTCAAGAGCTGGAGGCCAAAAAAGAAACACAATGCAAAGACTAGAAATCAGACAAGATAATTAGGGCTGACCTTACAAGTTTCCCAATGAGATGGTCAGTGATGAAAACTTTTCTGGTCCCAGAACAGGTGAGCAGCCTCCTGCTCTGAAGCTCTCCTTCCTGTTCTTGTATTGTGATTTCCTCTGAATGTAGCAACGTTACTGCCTCCTACAGGGAGGTAAGGCAGACTTTAGAGAATAGGAGAGGACATTTCAGATGTTTGGGATAACCTTACACTAGAAAAATTGTGGGTGATGGCAGAGAATTCTAGATGCTATATTTCAGGCACGGTCCCTGTTGGATCAACTTCATACTGAGAGAGTAGAAGGGAAGGTAAAACGGAGCGTGTGTGTGTGTGTGTGTGTGTGTGTGTGTGTGTGTGTGTGTGTGTGTGAAAGACAGAGAGAGAGAGAGAACTGTACATACCAATGGTATTTTGAAAAGTTCTCCAGAAAAAAGTGGGAAAATTCCTTAGCCTCCCTTGATGTTTTATGATCAGGTTTGGAGGTTTAGGTTTTAAACTTTTCCCATTAAGTAAGTCATGCAATTTGAATTGTAGGTATTATACTATTAATTTTGGTGTAGTGAACAGAAGTGTACACCTTCTTTTAAAGGAATTTTACTATGTACTTTGGATTGCTTGGTGACCTTTGAAATTTTTTTGAGCTGCTGTCAGAAACATAATCATTTTTCCCTCTGAAACAGCCTTTTAACATCTGTAGAGGTTGATCAAGCTAGGATTGTTTTAATGAAATATTAATCTATCTTTTTCAACGTCACCCCAGCTTTTAAAACTGTTCATCACTTCTAAAACAGCAGCTCAAGGCACTGGAGTTGATTTTAGTAAAAGCCTTTTCCATTAAACATTCTCCTTGTGGTCAGAGTACAGTTAAAGTTAGAGGATTTTGTAGTCTTTTTTTGTCTGTAGACTGGCTTCCAAATTTTCTAAATTAACATTACTTAATTTGTAGTTCATTAGCTTGAAAATTTTTTATATTTCAAAGAAAACATTGCTCCAGATTCTGCCATCAGTTCTTCAAAACCTGGGTACTTTAAGGATATTGACTTTTAACAAAATTTACCTGAATTACTTACTTTAAATATATGTCTTGCCATTAAAAGGTTATTTACGTTTAAAATGCTGACCTTTCAGGATTTACACAAGTGTTCTAAAACAGAGTTTCTGAACATTGGCCATGAAACCACTGTCTTGGGCTGACAAATGGATTGGAAATCAGCTACCCAACACTGGGAATGGGCCATTAATTCTAATCAAAGGTGATGCAGGAAGGCGAATGGGATGCATGACAATGTCAACAGCCCAGTAGGTGTTAAGGGACCACACAGCCTTCCTTGTTACTTGGTTGGGCCATTAGTTGAGGTTGGGTGAAGACAGAAAGCCATGTCTGGAATTGAATGACCAGGTCACTCCAAAATCTAATGGAGGACTCCCATTTCAGAAATCACATTGTAATGCCATTAGAAGTCAAGGACGGCATTCAGAAAATATTAGAGGATCTTGTTTTTTAAAAAATCAAGCACCTTGCCAGTTTTTCCAACTTTGTCTAGCTTCCTGTTTTGCTGCTTCCTTTCCTTCCAAATGGATCATGATATTTAAAGAGAATCAAGAAATGGGACAGATATAGGGGAAAAATATCTTAAAGCCCGTTTCCTTTTTAAAATTATATATTGTTACTGTAAAACCTGCTAAATACCAGAAACAGTAGTGTACCAGAGGAATTAAGCTGGGTAACTGATACTTTGTGATTCCTTTTGTTATGTGGGAATAGTTTTACTAATTGAAACTGAACTTTGTCAATTGCTTCAGGGAGAGCATTTATTTCATAATTGGATAGCCAGTGGGCTTATGCTGGAAATTGTCCATATTGGAGGATAACATTGGTGATATTCATAATGGTGAAGTCCTTTTCTTTCGATCGGTAATGATGCTTATAATAAAGACAAAGATGCAGAAGGACAAAGAAGAGTTTTTGCACCTGTGCTTCAGGTTCGTTGGGAAAATTCATTTATTCCGACCCAGCACGGCGCGCACAAGGATATGTATGACTGCATTGGTAATTTTCACTCAGATTTAAGAAAGCAAAGCAATCATGTTGCTGTCTTACTAATGGTACACTGTGGTGAGTGATGATGTTTTACCTTCCTGTAGATGAAGACCAACTCCGGGCAAAGGGTTACGACAAAACTCCAGACTTTATCTTACAAGTGCCAGTTGGTAAGTCCTTAAACTCCACTACTCATTTATTAGTAGAGAAAAGGGGCATGTTTTTTTCCATTCCTTTTTTCTGTGTCTTATGTGTGTGTGTTAATATTAGCAAATTTTACCAGAGTAGATTATCTTTATAATATTGTATTTAAAGGGTAAATAGAAAAAATTATCTCAAAATGGCAGAAAATAAGAGCATCAGACAAAATGTATACTTAAGAACTTTTACATATATTTGAGAAATGTCTTCTGAAGACATTTCAGTTGCCATTTTCTCTAAGTTCTGAATTTTTAAACACAGCTTTGTGAATCACCACACACTGCAGTGTGCTTGACATGTCAGCTGTCCAGGTAAAGAGAGGCATTCTTAGAACTAGAAAAGGGATGTGAGTAGCATTGGTGTCCTGTAATAAACATACACACATGTTGTAGTAGAACTGCTCCCACAGTTAATGATAAGGGCTTCTCTGCTTGCTGATGTGAAGCAAGCAGCCTGTGCAGGGCTCTGATGTTCAACCTTCCCTTTCCTTTGCTGTGTATTCCTAACGCTTTGTCCCTTAGCTGTAGAAGGACACATAATTCACTGGATTGAAAGCAAAGCCTCATTTGGTGATGAATGTAGCCACCACGCCTACCTGCATGACCAGTTCTGGAGCTACTGGAACAGGTGAGGCCCCATTATTTTTCTCTTAAGATAAACGATACTCAGCTGAAATCTCATTAGAAAAATATTTTGTTTAGCTGGTAAAAAATGCTAGCATCCTTTGTCCCCCTAATAAATATACAGTCTTGATTAATGTATTCATTTCAGATAATTTAAACTTCTCTGCTTTTATAATGTTGCTTCATTTTTTTTAATTAAAAATCTCTGCATAAGGTCAAAATAAGTAATTTTTCTATTTCCTATTTACAGTGATTATTTTGGAGTTCCTTAAAATATGTATAGCAAGATGTACTTACTGTGATGCAGACAGTAGATTTCTACTTTTTGATGTAAAATTTATGCTTACAGCTACACCATAGAAAATAATTTATCCTCAGTTCTCTGAGGAAACCATCCAGGCCATATGAAAGGTGGAAATGATTTACCTTACCACAGAAGAAAACCATTTACCCACCAGCTCCTGTCAACCTTTCTGACAAGATGGAAATCTCACAACCGAGAAAGGTCAGGGAGTGGGCAGTGCGGCTTCAGTGAGTCCCTCCACCTGCCTGGACCTAGAGGTGTTCCATTCCATCCTCATGGGGAAGCTGCCTTTGTCCCCATTGTACAGATAACCCGCCTGACACCCAGAGAGAACATGGCGTGCTATTCTAGGCCTAACTTTAGCTCGCTCCCAAACTCATGCTGTTTTCAGCCCAGGGCCAGTGCCATGATGCCACCATTGAGACTTTGGCTTTTTCTACCATTGACACCCTGCATATTTCACACTACACATTTTCCCCCTTAGAACAGAAGGTGGGTCAATTGGTAACCTTCCTAGATTAACTGTGTTCCTCAGTCACTGGCCAAAAGCAAGAATATAGTAATAAGATGACATTGGCCCAGATCATTAAGAGACAGTAGCATCTGTGGACAACAGCCTTGTCCCCAAAGGAAAAAAGGAAACAGTGGCAGGCTATGGAATTTGGCAGTTCATTGTTACTCAGCTTTGCAAAGGCCAGCGGACCTCTCCTGGAGCAGCTGCACTAAACTGAGCCTACTTTTTGCCATGGTAACAATGGTCATGACAAAATGCTGAATGCAATGGCTTTCTTGATTTTCCTGTGTAATTGTGCGTAGCATCCGAGCTTTACTTTATAGGGATGGAGGAGGAAAGTGCAAAATGTTTTAGAAATCAGTGCTGCTTCAGCATTTCCTGCATTTTATTCAGCCATCATTCAAATTAGCAGTAATGTGGCAAGTGGCATTTTAGATTTTTAGCAATTTTATGATGAGTTTGAAACAGTAAAGAAAGCATCACTTTTGATAGTAGAAGGAAAGCAATGACAAGGAAACCAAATTGCCTAAGTTTAGGTTACTAAAGGATTAAAAAAAATCAACAGAGTAAATCAGTGTGCATTAAGACTGTTCTTCCTTCTTTGGTACTGGTGAGGTCTTCTCTGAAGAACAAGTTGAATTGCAAATGGTTTATCTTCATTCTACACCGACTCAGCTGTTGAGTGCCTGCTAGGTGCCTAGTACATAGTAGTTAGAAGGGTATCAAATAACCTGGTCACATGTGTGGAACACCTGTGATTACGGACATGGCTGGAGGGAGCTCTTAGTGACAGATCATTTAATTCAGTTTCTTTTGGCTTGGTTTTAATGTTATTTTGTTGCATTATACTTTTTATCATTGTAATGTTTTACTTAGACTACTATTGATTTACATACCTGAACGTGTTCTTTGAATGTGTATCAGCTAAGTGGTCATAATCCATTTCAGGCTTGTTGTGTGATCAGGGAAGAGTCAGCCTTGGTTTTAAATGGTCCATATCATTCAGGAAGGAAACACTACAGAGAAGCAAAGAAATGCAAGCAGTGCCCAAGTTCAGAATGGAGCACAGAGGATATAAATTTGGAATTATAATGATGACACAAACTTACCAGTGATATGGCATTTTGACCAAAGAACAGATTAGCTCTTTTGTGAAAATATGTAATCCTGCTTTATTCATTTTTTGCCTCAGCACAACTTGCATAGCTCTTTGTAGTTGGAAGAGATCCTCTCCCACCTGTAGGAAGCCTTCCAAGGAGGCTCCTGTGCAGCATTCAGGCTAATTGTTATAGTCATATGATAAGCTCTAGGTGACATTTAAACTAATGTTATCTTCTTGTCACTATTTCAGAAGAAAGATGAGATTTTGCTATTATACAGTTTGGTTAATATTTTTAGAATAGTGCTTTTGTATAAACTCATTTTCCCACAGAGTCCTGATTTTTCGATTAACCTCTAAATTTCTTTTCATAGTAAACTTGATATTCCAACTCACCCTTTAGGCGCTGTGACCTCCTTGGCCACTTCCTCCCTCTTCACTACAGCGTTTTCCTTTCTTGGCTTCCATGATGTCATTTTCTGCTATGGCTCATGCTTTGTCTGCTTTCCTGGCTCCTCTTCCTCTTCCCCAAGTCTAGACTGAAGGGTCCTGGAACTTAGCACCCACCCCTGTCTGTTCCCTCTTGAGTCTGCACCATTCCCTGGTGATCTCAGGGGTTTCATTGGCTCCTGTGGTGTTAAGTACCACCTCTGCTGGTTTCTACTGCCAGCCCTGTCATTTCCCTGAGAACACATTTCTTTGTCCACTCCATATCTGTTCTTGGTGTCAAATAGAATCTCAGGCTTAGTATGTCCAAAAGTACACTCTTGACTTTTCCCCCAGGTTTGTTATCCTCCCACTTCCCCCCACTTAAATTAATGGCACCAGAATTTACCCAGATTCTGAATTCAGAAACCTAAGTATCATCATAGGTCCATCACCAAATTCTTCCAGCTCTGTTCTCACCACATCCTAAACCGTGTCATTTACAGTAAGCCCATCTCATTCTCAAATTTATTACATATGTTTTGGACCAAGCATTGTCAACAAAATAATAAATTTTTAAATAAATTGAAAAAATACTAATTTTAAACTACCATGTGCACACTACATCAGCTTCTCTGATGTAGAAAAGCCAATCCTGCCTTATCAGCATTTGTGTGTAAATAATTGTATGATCTGCTATTTCCCAGCCCTTAATTTTGTGAAAATTTGCCTCCCAAAGAACAAGGTAAAAGTGATTGTGTTTAATTGAAGTGATAAAGTGAAAATCTGAGATTTGTTCAAAGGTGCCTGTCTTTGGTGGAAGTTAGGCAGTATTATGGGAAAAATGAACCAAGCATCCACCGTGTAGTACTGAGGTCTGTGCGTTGTGAGCGCTCATGGTTCTTCCTCACCGGGATCCCCTGGGAACCATGTACCCATGGGCACCATGGTCTACTCCATTAGTGCCTCACCTGATGTGTGCTGTTATGGCATGAGTAATTGCTCCAGCTTGCGAACTCATCTCCTATGTCCTCTCTTAAGGACCTATGGTCAGTTTTTCATATCCTAATCTTGAAAAATATAAGTTATATTGTGTCAAAACTTCTCAGTGGCTTTTCATCACAGTTTAAATAAAATGCAAACTCTACCATGATTTTCAAGGCTCTCTGCATTATCTGCCTCCTTTCTGCCCTAGTCCTCTCCACATACAACTACCTCCCCTCACCTAGGAGTCTCACTTCTTCCACCACACTTGCTTTCTCAGTCTTCCTACACCTCTGTTTGTTATTTCCACTTTAAAACCCTTGCTCCTATTAATCTTCTGCCTGAAATTTTCTTTGCTTGGGTCTTCAGAGTTCTGCTCAGAGAAACATTTCTGACCAGCTGATCTAAAATGTGAAACCTTAGTTATTTCTGTCTCTCATTGGGATTTGCTCTTATCCCTACATTAATAATAAATAAAATGCAGTGGGAAATATTTATATAAAAACCAATTTGCTTCTTTGAGTAAAAGTCTTTAAAGAGCTTTTCTTCTTTCATCGCTCTTTCCAATTGTATATGTAGTTGTCCCTCATTAAATGTAGTCAGTTCTTCAAAATCAGATATTTGACTAAAGAACATAAGCTGCCTTGCCTACAAGCAGAGCCCCCAGCCAGGTATGAACCTTGATTGACTCCTAGAAATGCTATAGCGTCTGTTTCTCCAGTTAAAGGAAATAAAGAGTGACTCTGCAAAGTATAATTTGGATCATAATATAACCCACGATTATATAGGTCTAACAGAAAACACATTTCCTTATTGGACAATTTGACCTATATTAGTAAGTATAATTTGATATGGGGATAATGATAGAGAAGGAAACCAGTTTTGCAATCTAAGGCTAGATCGCATGCATGGGTTCTAACACTCCATCTTTCAAAGAAGCAGGAGAAAGTGCTCTGTGCCTAGTTTTGGTGTTGGAGATAAAGTGGGTGAGAATGAATGAAAATACTAAGTAACCTTAAATGAAGAAGAGGGAGCCCAACGCTAGAAAAACACATGATTGGTGTTCAACAACTGCTACAAAAATCAAGGACATCAAGCTGGCCAGATCAGACCTTCACTGCCATTCTGGCATGTTTAGGTATATATACCATCACCTGCAGTATCTATTTCCAACCAAAGCGCAGTTTGTAGATGAGCCTTCCAAAGAAGAACTAAGCTGACTGATCTCCAAGTTAGAGATCCTGGAGGTAATGAAGGGACTGCTGGGTGGAATCCAGGCTATCCTGCTCATCCCATGGTGAGCAGCAATCTGCTTACCCTCTGTAACCCCTCATTTTTGCCTCAATGAATTGGGCTTGATAATATCTTCCTTTCCTATTATGCAAATCAGTTGTTTAATACACATAAGCACTTTTCTGGTGCCTGCGATCAACAAATGTTAACTCTCTTTTTCTTGTGCGTCACTCTGATAGAATTTAGAAGTCTTCTGATGAGACTTCCGAGTCGATGGACCATTTAGCTAACTTTAGCACTCAGCTCAGCTGACATCTCTTTAGGAAACTGTCCAGCATTTCAAAAGAGATGTCTCTCCTGTATTCTGCTAATAATTTCTTAGTATTTATCAAGCATTGTAATTGGCTGTTCACTTCTTACCCTGCTCTGATTAATACTGAGTTT